ATCCTGCGAAAACGGATGTTTTTTTTCAAATTATCACATTGACCCTCGTGCAAAACCAACTATTACGTGTTTATACGTTTGTTTGTAGATTTGTTACGGCCGTCTTCCCCTCTTTGGACGACGACGTGATCACCTCCCCCTACAACACTGTCCTCGCGTTGAACCACCTAACCGAGTTTGCCGACTGTGTCCTTTCTGTCGACAATGGGGCGCTGAGTTCAATTGTTCGTAGGGCTCAAGCCGAACCACTGCCCAGGCATCTAAAAACTGCCAATATAGGAAGTGTTGTCTCCAATGAGGGCTCTCTGGCGTCCACAGAGCGAGTTAAACCGTTCGATGCCATGAACAACATTGTGGCCAATGTGTTACTCAATCTCACAAGGTTAGCGTTTATCTATTATTCAAAATTTGTTACGTCACTTCGCTTGCATGTGCTAGAACCAAATACTGTCCTTGCGACGGTCGAATACGACTTGCAGGACCGGATACCGGAAGTTGGCAGACTCACAGCTAGAGAGTTAGAGAGAGAGTGCCTGTGGAATTGAATCGCCCATCAGCGTCACATTTTTTGTACACTCTATCCGCGGCGTTATTCTATTTTTCTCGCAATTGGTTACCTCCACTTGGTTGTTTTCCTACTGTCACCTGATCGGTAAGGATAATGCTGCTGTACTTGAGCAGCAAAATTATCAAAAAGTCGAAACATTATTTTCCTGGAAGAAATTTGAACAAGACAAACATCACGAGATTAGCAGAGTTTTCTCAAGAAAGCGTTTCGGGGAAACGGCTAGCCGGAGAAATTTATTGATAAGTACCGCAACTGCAGACAAGAAAATCCTCCTAAACTATGAGTGCCAAAAAGCCAGTGAGCGATTGAAAGAACTGACCCTGCCTCTAAATTGTTGTACATAAGCAAACAGCGGCTATTTCAGTTAAACCGACTGAAGACCTTTTGCGTTTGCACGCCACATCAACCTGTGTTTACGAGTTAACATGTAGTCGCGGATGTAAGCACATCTGGCGTACGCAACGGCAATTGGCAACGCGGTCAACTGAACATATGCCGAAGCGGTTGCTCAAGGCGGGGAATAAAATACCAAAGATTTCAATCACGAAGCACCTAGTGGACACTGGCCTTACGGTCAACCAAAAGACTGCATTTAAGGTCGTACTTCGGGCGACGACCGGGCATCTCCTAGGATTTGCAGAGGCAGCTACAATACAGACAAGAAAACCATAACTCTGTAAGTAACTGGATCGTGTGATCAACCTCGCATTGTCGTGGTAATAATCGATAAACTCATTCCCTCTCACGCCTCCTCATTCCCCTTAGGACTGACTGCTAGTCTGTCCGCTGCCCTCCC